CAGAATGGTTTGATCCCTATCCAGCTGAATTCCTGAGAGGAGACGAAATCCAGGTCTCCTACTCCTCCGCCATCTTGCTCCGCCCCCCCCTTATATTTCCATTTTAAAGTAATACATTTACTCATGTAGAATTTAAAAATAAAAAAGTACATAATTTAATCATAACAAAGACTATAGAGGAAAAAACTTACTTTTCAATCAATGATCGAGGGACATTTGGCTACTGGTATGAAAAACTAAAGTAGGATTGTGATTTCTATCTCATCTTATACACAAAAAAGAAACTGCATGTGGATTCAATATCTAAATATGAAAAGGAAACTTTAAAATTTTAGAATAAAATGGGAGATTATATTTATGATCTTGGGGTAAGGATGAGCTTTTATTTTCCAACTTTATTGAGATATAATTGACATACACTGTTGTGTAAGTTTAAGGTGTCCGGTGTATTGATTTGATACACATATATATTGCAAAATGATTACTACCATAGAGTTAACACCTACAGCAAGGAAGAACTTCTTAAAGACCAGAGGAAAAGCACAAACTCTAGTAGAAATGATTTATACATTTGGGCCAGTAAAATTAGAATTTATATTAAAAAACTGTAATGAAAGTAAATATACAGGCTAAGACTAGAAGTAATTTGAAGCATGAATAAATAACAAAAGATTAGAAACCAAAATACCTAAAGAGCTTAGATACCAATTTAGGTAAAAACAAGCAAGCATTAGGAAAATATGCAAAAGCTTATATTAACAACTCAGAGATAAAAATGATCAATAAATGATAAAAACAGACCCAGCCTTCTCTGTCATTAAGGTAATGGAAATTAAATTTTTTCATATCCATCAGAAATATAAGCATGACAGAAATATAAGCAAGTAAATATTATTTAAATTGACAAATATGTACAGAATAGTTCATGAAATATGAATGTACAACTTGAACATCATTGTAAAAGTAACCTGTATAACCATCACCCAGCTCCAGATGCCCCCATATACCTTTCACAGATCACAGTACCCTTGCTCTCCACTGGTTGTAACTACTCCCTTAAGTTTTGGCAGTGGTGTGCTGATTTTGTGGTGGGGGGTGGAGTGGGGAGTAACCCTTACTTATGCAGCATTTGCTGATTTCCATGGAGTAAGTACTCTTATCATGTCAAATTTCAAGCAACCAGCAAGTCAACTGACTCACCAAATTCTTTAAAATTTAACAGCAGCTCTTATGAGAATGTGCAAATCTACTCTAGCACTCAACTGCCACTTCCTAACTTCTTTGCTTTTTCTTCTTTTTTAAAAAAAGTTTTATTACCTAAATAATCATCCTCAAATAGTTTGTATTAGTTGCTTCTCACAACATCAATATTATTATATTACTTAATTAAATTGTTTTTGAAGGCTTCCTGTATTCTGGAAGAGTTTAAATAACATTGAGATTATCTTCTTTTTAAAGGTTTAGTGAGTTCCTCTGAGACACCACCTGGATTTACTGATTATTTGGACTAGCTTTCTCTTTAACAGTTTTATTTCTTCCATGGAAATCACACTCTATAGATTTTTCAAAATCTCCCTTCTGGTCAGCACTGGTAAATTATATTTTCCTAGAAAGTTAAGTCCTTGAGGTTCTCAAATTTATTTATATGTATTAAAAGTAGTTTTATGATATTTTTAATTTTCTGTTTTCTAAGGTTATTTCAGTGTTACCTTTTTTTTACTTTTAAATATTTGTTTTCTCCTATTTTTTCTTGATAGTAATCTAGGTATATTTCTTTACATCAGTTTTGTCTTCTTTCTTTATTTTTTTGAGCCTATTCTAGATTTATTTCCAGTGTTTCATTATTCTCTAAATCATTAATCTGTTCTCATAATTTTGTTAATTTTTTCCTACTTCTTTCTAAATTCCCTGAGTCAGATCATTATTGTTTCCATTATTTCTGGTACATTCATGTTTGTAATGAAGGCCATTTGTTTTCCTCTGAGATCACTACTTTAGCATTCTTATAAGAATGAAACATATATAGTAAAAAGAGTAAAGCGTACTAAATTGTGATTCAGGACACAGAGGTCCCAAATGTAATTCTCTTTTTCTGTATCAGTCTATCTGCCAGTATCATCTTGGGCATGTCAGTTGGCCTTCCTCCTTCAGTTTCCTCAACTAGAAAATAAGGAAATATTTGATGATCTCAGAACTTCTATTTTGCTGTTTCATTTAATGAAATACATTCCTATCACCAGCTTGCCACTTCAGGAATTTGAACTGAGTCTACAAAGTGAACTCTAGTCTCAAACTTCTTAAATAACAATATACTAGTTTGTCTAAGTACTATAGTCTCCTGTGTAATCACAAAAGCTGTTCTAATCATTCTTTGGCTGCAAGATGGGAGTCTGCGCCTTAGCCAAATCACTCTATAGGTGTTCCTTACTAACTTAGCATATTTTGTAATAATCAATCAGCTATTGAAAGTTATATAAAGTTGATGAGGAATTGTTTTCCCAAATCCTTTGAAATTCTTAAATAAACACACACGATTGTCAGTAATAAAAAAAGTAGGCAGCGTCCACCTATTTGTGAATGGGTTAAGATGAGGCAAAAAGTAACAAATATTATGTCAGAGTAAAATTGTAAAAAAGAGAGATTCTAAGGCCTGGAAGTTACAGAAAAATGTGTAATAATGACAACAGTATTAAACATTGACAGATTCTGCATCTAAACCTTCCTAAGAAATATAAAGCAAAAACAAGGAAAAATTTATTTAGAGATAGCAAAAAAAATTCTAGAAAATGGGAGCCAGATTGTCCCAGAATCTTATCCATATTACATAATATTTGCATGTAAAATCCCTGTCATATTTAAAAATCTAAGCAGTAATTTAAAAAAAAATCAATGTCCTTTGTGGAAGAATTGATGTTACCATAGCAAAATGAAATATCTTTTAAGTTTTGAATTTACCATTGTGTGTGTGTGTGTGTGTGTGTGTGTGTGTGTGTGTATTTAAGCATTGACATGAACACAATATATTTTTGTTTTTGCTATGAATGTAAAAAATGCCAGAAGGGAAATTGGGAGGGAAACTGAACAAAATGCCCTTCATTTACATTTATTTTCTGAAGCCATTTGAAGTCTCCCATTTTATAAAATGTTATTATATAACAATGGCAGTCATTGCCCACTTTATAGATCTCTACATGTTCTAAATAAATCGCTTCTGAGTAGTTTTTCTCCACATCTCACCACATCTCTAACTATAGGAATGTAATTTTGTAGCCTTAAAAAATGCATTGATTTTTAGATGCACATACGGAGAGCAGAATATGTAATAATGCTTAAAAAAAGAATAAATTTATTGTTTTATTTACCTCTCAAGAAAAGAGAAAGTAAAGTTACATACTACATTTTAAGGATTTATGATGCAGCATAGTTTCCTTTTCTTTTATAATAAATATTTAAAATACATGTAATATTAAACAGTCCACCAAATTGAAAACCTTACATGAAAATATGGGACAATGGTTTGGAAACATAAAGATATCTGCTGTCACACAATGTTTCGTGTGTTCCTTCATAAATCAGTACCAGAAACATATACAAGCCAATGAGAGTGAGAGCTTAAAAGATTTCTGAAATTCTGGCCGAATAGCTCCCAGTTATATACAAGAGACCATTGCTTTCAAAGTGTCAAAGTAGACTTAAAAATATAATTAATACAACATAGTGCTGGCCATGGTATGAAAGACAATGCATGTGCATTTATTTTGGTTAGACTCTGATTTAAATGAGAATTTACACTATGACCTTTATAAAGATTAGATGAGTTAATAATTTTTAGTTCGTTTTTCTCTCCTCAAAACTGGGAATAATGATGCTTACGTGCTAGGGTTGTAATAAACACAAATGAGGTAGTGTATATAAATAGCACAGGCACACGTAAGTATTTAAATATTAAATTCCTATTGCCCTTGTAGTGATCATCTTTTTTTAATGAACCGCTGTTTAAAAATAAAGAAATTAATGTAAAGAATAAAATATGAGCATGCACATCAAAATAGGGAAAAATATTCCTTAAAAGTGAATGGAAGTAAAGTGCACTATTAACATGGAAAATGAAGTGAATCCAGAAAATGTTCAAAATTCCTCTTATGTGGCCAGAATAAAATCAAATATAAAAGCAAAGTCCTGGACAAACAATATGGTAGGTTTGTTTGTTTCTTCTCAAAAGTGAATTTCTAATTATGTTATATATGTTGTTTCAGAGGCAAAGGCCCATTGAAAAATACATCTGATGTTATTAATGCTGCCAAGAAAATCGCTGAAGCAGGTTCTCGAATGGACAAATTAGCTCGCGCTGTGGCTGATCAGGTAATGTTAGAGGGAAGAGCAAGCACATGCTGCGTGGTATCATTAATTAGCGCTTGGGTTCTGTAATGGGTTTTATGTACCCTATAAAATGCTTCTGAAGGATGAATTGTAATCACTAACATTTTACAAACAGGACTCTAACTCTGCAGAGACTGAGCTGATGGCAAAGGTAGGGTCAGTTCAGGAGGGACTCATTAAAGCCCATGACCAAAACTTCTTGAGAAAGTAGAGTACCTGCTACTTAAGAGACATAACTCCCAAAGCTTGGATTATGCTGGCTGCCCTCATTCAGCAAGTCAAGTACACTACATAGGGAGGAAGAGAAAGAACTTTAACTTTTGTTATTTCATATTGATCTTACTGTATTGATGCTCTTTATAATTCATAATAATTAATGCACTAGCATAAATGGGATGAATCCACACATAATCAAGAACCTCCAGATCTCATTTTCATCCAGATTTGAAGGTATCACAGATAAATGAAATTCACAGAGTATCTTTTCAGACTGAAATCGGATACACGTTACAGTAGTTCTCAATCTCACCTTGAATATTTGAGATAATCTCCACACTTTTCATGTTATGTGGCTTAAACTGGAACTCTAAAATCCTGTTCTAAATATGTCTCATTGCAATAATGTCCCATTCCTTATAAGGGTACTTTAGGCAGTAGACTTTTACAGGTAACTAATTCTTATTCTTATTATGAGCATGAATTTGCTTACTAGACTGCAATGCAGTGATGCTCTCTGGAGACACTAAGAGGCATAGGATTGTTCCTTCTCCATAGATGGCCCTAATCTCCTATGATTTTTGAGTTGCTTCTCATCATTTTCTTCCTTCATTCCTTAATATTTGGCTGTTGCCATAAATACTTGCTGTCTTCAACCTCCCAGATTCTAAAGTTCTTCAGGTCAATACCAAATTCACTCATCTTCTAAACACTGAAAAGAAAAACACATGATTAAACTATTAAGTCTACATTTAAAATAAGCCAACAGGTTGTCTCATTTTAATTTTTTTTACATATATGATGGCTAATCCAAGGGAATGTATTTTGCTTGCTTTAAAATTTTTGAGAAACACTTAATAGTAAAGATTATTCATTAAATATTACCATCATTTGACTATCCCCTAAAATTTATGTGGGTCAAAGACCAAACCATTACTGAGTTGCTAATTTCAGGGCACTATCAACTGCCAGGCTTCCTGCAGTTTGCAGCATATTGAACTGCTTTATACAGAGTTCCATATGTATCCCAGAAAGTTCATGGAGACAGTGAATATACTTGGAAATATGCATGCGTGTCTACAAACAAACAAAAATACACCAGCCAGGAAAAAATACCACATTTTTTTCCTTGCAAATGTCGAGGGCACTTGGGATGAGAAGAGTGAGAAGAGATTGGTGGTGGTCCTGAAAAGAGTTTTCTGAGGAAGGACTTCTTCCCAGAAGGGAAAGTGGATGGAATTTGGATGTTTTTTCCATTAAACTCTGAATCTTAGTCACTGAAACTGTTTCTTAGTATGTTTAGGTTCCTTGAGTTCAATATTTTTTATTGTGATTTTTGTTTTTGCCTTTGCATTTTTAGACCCTTATTTCCAACCATTATGCAAGTTGAATCCTAGCCAAAAACAGTTTTGCTATCTGGAAAGCATACCACACGTGCACACAAACAAATCCCAGGATTCTAGATGTATTTTGAAATTAAATGACAGAGTATTTAAATGCTATTCTATGATGAATTTTAAAATAAACAGATGAGGGTTAAATATAACCCTCTCTTTGTGGCATTCTGTCATCAGCTGTGAAACAACTTGCAATTTTTGCTAATGTTTTGTCTGAATAGGATGCTTCTTTCTCAAAATCTGCACCTATTTCCATGATACAAGAATTATTTTTCTTGGTCCATCATGCTTTTATGTGTGTTTTAAATAATAGAAGGAGCATTAGCAAGGAGTATATTTGTTGCCTTTATTTTGCCTGAAAATATTTTTATGAAGATTTGAGATACACAAGCAATATAAACTTTTTACGGACTGTTGCATTTTTAATTACTGTTCCATTGAGATAGAATTTCCAGTTTAATTTGCTGCAAGGTATTTGTATCAAAAGCCTTGTCAGCCCTCTAGGGAGATATCATTTTAAAGTTAATTCCTTTCAGTATATGGGTCTCTGGAGTAGGATAAATATTACAGTATTAAGTACTTGTAGAAAGCTAAAAACAGTCTCTGTGGGATTCTTTCTTGATAAATGCAGTTAGTGAAAAAAGTACCATAATGGTGTTATATATAAAAGAGACCCCTATGTCATTTATTAAAGAAATGGTTATGTCACAACTGCTGGCTTCACATTATTAATGAAAAACTGCCTGCCTTTCTTTTCTTTTCTTTCTTTCTTCTTTCTTTCTTTCTTTCTTTCTTTCTTTCTTTCTTTCTTTCTCTCTCTCTCTTTCTTTCTTTCTCTTCCTTCCTTTCCTTTTCTTTTCTCTCTCCCTCCCTTCCTTCCTCCCTCTCTCTGTCCCTCCCCCTCTCTCTTTCCCTCTCTTCCTTTCCCTTTCTTTTTTCTTTTCTTTCCTTTCTTTTCTTTCTTTTCTTTCCTTTTCTTTCTTTCTTTCTTTCTCTCTCTCTTTCTTTCTTTCTTTCTTTGTTTCTCTTTCTTGAAGAAAACCTAGCTGGAGTTTTTTTTTTTTTTTTTTCATTCTCTTATTCTAAATAAGTTACTTCAGTTTTGGGTCTAGGTACTTATTTCTTACAGTGTTTCATCAAGGATCTGGTGAGTGTATGTCCTTTCCAAGTGCCAAATTGAGCCAGAACAATGGGATAGCCTGCAGAATCTTGAAATGAACTTCGGATAGCAATAGAAATATATTTCAATGACTGAATAGCCATTGGTATTGAAGCCTCAGAAATGCTTTAGGGAGTCATGTAAATGTCTGTGGAAGTGTTCAGCTAAGTTCAGTTGTATCTGATGGACATCTACCCACTAAGTAATGAAGAGAATTCAAAATCCTGGTCCTAGTTGACTCTGGAACAACCTTTGAAGAGTTCTGTTTTTACTCTTAGGAGTTTGTTTCAATTGGCTTCACACTCATTCTACTTAAATCTATTGCTCTAACAGTGGTCATGATCCTTCTCAGAGTCCCTTATTTAAAGAAAGTTTATAATGTTAAAATTCTGATAAATATAAAAATCCAAAAAGTGTAATAGGCTTCCTTTAGTGAATGATACTTTTCTGAGAAAGCCAAAGGAAACAAGTGATTTCTGCCCCAACTAACTGAATTGAAATTCTATCCTATGCTGTGTCCCAGAGATTGCTACCCGGAGCGATTTCCTTCTAGCTTCTGTTGCTTTTGTTGTCCATATTAAAATAACTACACAGGGTGAATGTTGGATGGGCCACTAGGAAAAAACCTGGAGAATATTTAGTTTTCTTAACAGTTCAGAAGGCAACTAGTAAAATTACTCATAAATGTGTACAGAAGTTCCAATAAAACTTTCTGGAAGATCTTCAATATTCTTTTTATAGAATTGTATCAAAGTAGAGCTGACCATCCTAAACTACTGGCTGTGGCCTTCCTAAAATGTGCTGTAAAGTGAAGTTAAATGGATGTAATTAAGGTATATGACACTAAAACCTTTTCTTCTTATAGCTTTTATAAAGTAAGTATTAGAAACTGAAGAGTACTTACTAATTGAGATCACTTTTTTTAATGTTTTATAGTGTCCTGATTCAGCATGTAAGCAGGATTTATTAGCCTACCTTCAACGAATTGCCTTGTATTGCCATCAGCTTAATATCTGCAGCAAGGTGAAGGCAGAAGTACAGAATCTGGGAGGAGAGCTCATTGTGTCAGGGGTAAGCCGGGACTTGGGCTTCACAATTAAGGTTCCCACTGTTGTACTTCCAAGGCAAGCATTCTTGGCAACAGTACTGCTAAAAACACCAAACTACAGTGATTCATAGGGAGTTTTTGTTTTTTTTTTTAAATAAATGTTATCACCATTATTCCAGACCTTACAATAACTCACAGAGAGCAATTTGATTTTCCAATTACCCTGTGTTTATACTAGCCTTGTAAAATCTCCATTCTTCACAAGAAAACTAATTTCATAGTCTGGAAACTCATTGCCAAGCTGTGACTATTATAATTATTTGGAGCTTTTATACATTTACTCATTGTGAGTCTACTTCCCTTTGTTAGTCCTAGTAATTTTCAGTCTCTGTTCAGGAGCCAGCCTCTCTATGTGTGGATTGTGTTCACATGTTAGAGATGATGAAAACAATAGGAATTCATTCATCAGGTTCCAATGCATACTAGGTTATCAGTAACCCTTGAAAGCCAGAAAATATTCAAATTTAATACAGGTTGATGTGCTGTTGCCAAAACTAACATAGTTGTCAAACACTAACAATTATGTATTCTTTGCTTAATCACTCCAGTATTTCCCTTAGTATCTGGTCCACTTTCATCAAATGTAAAGAAATAAGTTCGATTAATAGAAGCATTATGATTTCTTGGCAAGATTTCCAAATGTATGTGTTGAGGTTCTTCACCTTGGCTTCTCCTCCCTCAGTCCCTTTCTTTGAACATGAGGTGCCATCTATTGTAAACTATTTGCGAATTCCAAAGTGTGGCTCTGCCACCTTTAGTTCTTTTCCCAGTCAACCACGATGCTGCCATTTTAAGTGTGGCATTACCAGGAACATAACATGATCAACATGGTGAATGCCTTATGAGAATCAGACTGGTCATGAAGCTCAATTCTTTACTGAGACATTTTCAGAAATTCAGCAGTTCGACCATTTAATAAAAATATGTGGAAAAATCATTCTTGAACCCAAAGGTTTCAGGTTCTATATTGTTTGGCTTGCAGAAAACAGCTGGGAAAAGAGCTGATCTGGCTTGCATGGAGATGCCATCTGGAAAGCCTGTTCCATGCAGTCTCACCTAGAGTCCAATAAATTGGCTATTTTATGCCTCTTCCCAAAGCATAGTCACCTCTTTGCATTTCCAAAATGATCCTGCTTCAACATTCTTCAACAACCAAGAGCAATCTGTCTTGCAATGTGTCCTTTCTGCTGAGTTGGTAATTACCAAGATTCTCTCTGCCAAGAAGTGATCAAAACATTGCATATCCCTTGCTTCCTTTCTTATCTTCAGACTCGATGGTATAGTCTCCCATACCATTCGGCTTTCATGTCCATCTGTATATAGCACCTGTGGAACTGAGTGCTTTTTGTTTAGCTTGCCTTGTGTGCTTTCATTTGTCACTTTCCAAATCTTATTATTTACATGGATGCGCAAAGCATCTTTGTGGATCTCAGACTCCACAACCTCATCTAGGCGGTATTTGACTGGCAGAGTTGCTCTCCATTATCCTCTCAATACCCATTGTTCATCACTGCTTCCAGAGGCTCATTTCCATTGTCTTTTCCTCATTTAGATGTAGTCCAAACCATCACTGGCTTTTATAACTTGCACTGTTGGCATTTGTAGAGGTGTTTAAGATTGAGAACACCATCAAGAAGCCTGTTTCCTTCTTTGAGTCTTACTGGCAAAGTTCAAAAATCCTTGCATGGGAGAAGGCTTCTTTTAGTGGAATGTTATATGACTTTATAATAATTCTGTGTCAAATGCATTATAAAGGTTTGCTATATATTGCTCAGTTATGGACCTGCTCTTGGCCTCCTCATTTTTTCAAAGCTTGGTTGCTATTTGGTGCCATACCTGCATCTGTAGTCTGCTGTCTTTGCCACTTCTGCCTCCATCTTATTCTTCATCCTCCTTCACTGATGGCCAATGGAGAAAAAAAAAATCAATGTTTATTTTGCAAAATAACCACAAATGACTGCCTTCAAAGTCCTGAAAGAGTCAAGAATGTAAGACCCCATACACACAGACTTTTCAATGATTTTGCCAAGAAAATGTGTCCATGCTTTGGGCCCCATTTATTTTATTGTCTGGCATGACAAAGTTGCTACATTTTTAAGGAAAAACACTATAACATGCAATCAAAAAAAGAGAAACGTTTGAATCCTCCTTCCTTTTTCCTTATGTGTTTATGTACATGGGGTTCAAGGTTGATGCTTCTCTGAAATATATGAAAGCCCCCAAGAAGGTATACGTGTTAGTAGTCAAAATTTCCCCTAAAATAAGTGATTTGGATAGGTTATTCCCATTTTGCCAAGAAAAATCACTTGAATTTCAGTGCTGAGAACCGTATTTTTAGAGCCTTGTGCTAGCATGATGAACAAAATGCACATGTGCACAGTTATGTACCATGTCAGCATGTGTATGTTTTATGTGATTCTGTGTGTACAAACTGGGAAGGCTTCTGTTGTATCTGCGTTTGGCTTGAGTGGTTGTGGCAGGAAACTTAATAGGTCATGGGCAGAGGGACAATGGGTACAAAAGCTCTTGAATCATGATGGCAAGCTAGAGAAATAATTCAATCCCGGATATATGCCTACATGTGCTCATTCACACAACTGCTGTCTAAGAAGCACCATTAATTTTCCGGCTAAAGATCTGTTTTTAAAGTTATTGGCTTACGTCTTTCTCACCAGCCAAAAAAGTACTGTTCTTACTAAATCTCAAAGTAGAAGATGTATTTGTGAGCCAATTCAGCTTAAGCCATTTGTATGGTTGCTAAAGGGGTCAATGGGGAAGAGAAAATTAAAAAACAAAAACTAAAACTAACAGTGCTAGAAATGCTAACGAGAAAGTAGAGGAAACCAAAGTCCAGAATATTAAACATCCATTCATTTATAAACTGGCTTTATTTGCTTAGTGTTTGTTTATTTAATCTCTTAAGTCAGTTGACATGCTTTTTGGAAAAAGAAATGTTGAAAGAAGAAAAGAGAAAAGAAAGGGAAGGAGGGAGAGTAGGAGGGAAGAGTCATGAAAGAAGGAAGAAAATAAAGGAAAGAGAAACTTAACCATAGCATATTGTAAATTATTTTAGTGCAGGTAATATCCACTAAACACGACAGCATTATATTCACCATGGCAGAAAAGTTGAGCCAATTTTTTTCAAGTATGTAAACATATTTTGAATACAAGTTCGTTCCAATGCTATGATGTGGATATTACCTCTATATTTGATTGTTGTGCTTTTAATTTTTTTCATTAGGTTTCAGAGGATTTAATGGATTCTTTTAAATTTTAAAATGAAGATTTACATATGGATCTGGAGAAATAAAAACCATTCCATAACCTTTGATTAGCTACCCTAAAATTTATACTTTTGAATTTTTCTGAAGGATACTGGAAATGCTAATGTGGAATTTTAGAATGGAAAATGCTAAGCATCAAGCATTCTGATAAATCTGAAAAATTCCACCTAAATTTTTTTTGAAGTTCAAATACATCATTAAAACAATGAAGCCAGAACGCAAGAGCAGTTAACCCTACATTGGACAGGAATTCAGTGGTTAGGTTAGAGACGGAAGGACACAGATTGTAAGTAATAGTTGACTCCACATGAAAATGCTACAAATTTTAATAGATTTTATTGCATATAATATCTTTTTCTCATACTTAACAAAATATAGGAGCAGAGTTCGGAGGCGAGTAATGTTAGTTTCCTACATCCTCAGCCTGATGGAATGGAGCCCTACCCTATTCCTGAGGGATTGAGTAACCTGGTCTAATGTGCACTTTTGTTCTTTGCCATTTAAATCTCTCCTTTCCAAATTTGAATCCCTCTCAATTGGGTTGTGGAGAGAAGCTTGACAAGGTGAACAAATATAATTTGTGATACTAGTAGGATTTGAATTGGTAAAGAGAAAATTGGAGAATAAGCGGTCAGTTATAGTTTCTATTGCCTATGTTTCACATCATTAAAAAAAATTGGACTCAATTAAAATCAACATGAATATTCATGGTAATAAATGAAAACCATTCATACAATACTAGAAACTGATAATGGTCAAATCAATCCTACCTGACTATGGTATGTATAAAGATACATATGCACAAACATACATATGCAACAAATACACATGATTTGATATTTACTCCCTTACTCCCTGAATAAACAGTAATCAGGAACTGAACTAGTGGTTGATAACTGTGACATATCTGATCCAAGACAGTTTAGGGAAAAGAAAACGTGGGAATTATTTGTACAATGCTATATATATTATATATTTTAAAACATATACTATAGATTATATTTTTATACATTTGTATTCCATATTTTAAAAACGTGATTTGTTGAGATGAGAATTGCATTTTATTTGAAAAATTCTGTATTTCATCTATAAAAAATAGTGTATTTTGTAATGGGCTGAAGCAGTCATTGAAACAAGCGTTGTACTTAGTTGTGTAGCCTTATTCTTTTGTACAACTTGTACCCTTATTTGGGGAGTCTTTTTTTTTTTTTTTTTTATTCTGCGTCTGTCTATTGTCGATTCTTGATTATCTCTACTGATCGGAGTGTAGTAGTAATGGAAACAAATCTAAATTGCTAGCTATTTCAGTTTGGGCTCTGGGATGCATTTCTATGCTTCATTTGAAAAAAAAAAAAAAAAGGCTATGTATTCAGGAAATTAACAGCAGTTCCAAATAATTTTCTCCAGATTTTCAGAGGGGAGGCCGTTAAGTGTTTGGGTTTTACAGACTTTTCCTGAACTAAACAGTAGGAGAGTCCAGATCTGGAGAGAGTAAGACTAAAACAAACTTCAGATTATAAATCTAGATGGAAGGATGGTGGAAATACTCTGTACAGTAAGAAAATTAAACAAGTATTTATCATTGGCAGAATGGCTATAGTTCTTTGCATATACTTTACTAGTAAGATGGGTTGCTGAATAATTCAATCTTTCTCCAAAAAGCCTAACCCTCCCAATCTGTTATGATAGTAAAACTATAACCATTTAAGTTCTGATTCCTGCATTAAGTCTTCCTTAGTTACATTTATATCAGTGTACATGGTCATTGATTTTTATACAACCAAAATTATGCAAACCTTCAGGGAAAAATAACCCTGAAGTGATTTTTCAGTGCAAATTCATTCTCCCAATGTTATAAAAGTGACATTTAACAAACTCAAGGCGTTACATGTGAAAGAAATTGGAGATGGGGATTTTTATAAGAAAAGTGAAAATCTCCTTGAGTGCCAGGCATCATAGGAAGTTTTGAGTGTAGTGTACCACACCTGTCAGGTGTCTCCCTAAATTTAAATAGTCTTGTGCAAAGGAAGATGGTATATTGTTCTGTTATAAAAAGTAGCTCTGTAGTTACTCGGTGATGGTGACCCTAAACTTATCAATTCGATCTATTCATTAAAAAAAAATCAGTTTTTCACTGATGAAATTAAACCAGTTGGTTATCCAATTTGTTTTATGCATGGAAAAAATTCTTTATATTCTAATGCTCTCATTTTAAAGTAAGAAGACAGACTCCTTTGTGACAAAGCTGGAACATGAACCAAGCAAAGAACTCTTTTTACCTTAAGTGGAGACATGGGTTGACCTAACTTGGATCTACTCAATGGATTGATTTGATTGCATCACCTGTGCTTATAAATGGAGACATTTCTATTTTAGTTTGAGGGCGTTCATTACTGCGCATTAAAGTAGAAGTGGCTAGTGGCTTTATGAAGAATGTCTCTGCCTCAGAAATGTCAGTGCCATTACTTGTCCTTCAGTCAGTGAACTTTCATTCCTTTAGGTTTTAGAAGCTATTCAAGTTTTGAAAGCCTCAAATTAAAAAGAAGGCAAATAATTCATACCTTAATCTATTAGAAATTAATGTTTTAGATTTCATTAATATTCAGACCATTATTTGGCAGCCAATGATGAGTAATATTTCATGAAAACTTGGAAATTAGACACATGGGAGGTACCTGGATAAGGGACACTAATTGTGCATAGCTTTTGATATCTGTGCAACACAGGCAAACCTATTGAAGAAGTACTTGTTTTATAACATTTTCCCATGAGACATATTCTAATTTTGAGATACTGTTTGTTATAATTGATTTCATCCTAAGATGTTCTTTCTTTATTAATATATTTTAAATAATTAATGTTTATAGTAGTGTCTTAGGAGCTGTCTCCTCATTTTAAACTAGTTTTGGATATGTGAGAACAAATCCAGATAATACCTGTTCCCTTAAATTGAACCAAATAATTATGGGAAGCCACAGTGTTGGATAGAATACCTTTATTTAGAAACAGCATCTGTAATTTAGTTTATGCTTTCTGGTTTTCCTGTGTACACTTGGATTTGTCAGCTTTAGTCAAGAAATACATTATTTTGAATTGGTTACCTAAATCCATTGTGATTTTGTTTCCTTGTTCTTACTTGGATATACCTCAAGAATTCCTGGACTGAAGGCAGTTGGAAGAAGAAGAAGCTAAAATGTGAATAAGTTGATATAAAAATATATAAATAAATAAGAGAAGATGAATATTAAAATCTTACACTAAATATTATCTGGGGAATCTCATGACTGACTTTGCATAATTTTCCATTACCTCAGATGACTCAAAATAAAGGAAATTAAGAGACTCCATAGAAAAACTGAGACTGGATTTTATGTTTGGTACTAGATTTGATAAAATTTTGACAATCCTATTTTTCTAGAAAAAGATTAGCATTTCCGTATGTTGTTCCTAATTTGTAATGACAAACCAGCAATCGGAGCTTCAAAGAGTTATATACTTCCTGTTCACATAAGGACATTTTCTGATTCATTGAACAACATTTCTAGGGTGTTGGAACTACTTAAAAGGCACAGTGCTAAATATTGGTTGGGAGAAGGTATTCAAAGTCCTTTATT